GGGGTGGCTTCGATGTACTTACGAAAAGACAACCCATGAAGCACTGTTGAGTCATAATGATCACGATCTGACGCCCATCCATTCGGTAGTGCAGGAGCAAGACCAGGACCTTGATGAAGTGGCATGGGAGTAGACGGCGATGATGAAGGTGCCGAAGAAAGTGGAGGCGGAGGTAGGGGAGGTGGCTGACTAGCAGGAGCAGAATTGGAGAGGTTGGGATCATTCCAACTTCCCGAGCTATACGGCTGATAGCGATGCTGACCCCACGATTGTTGGGATCTCCCGTACCCTGTGTTGGTGTCCCACTGTCCATTCCATGCCATGGTTTCAGAACTAGCGACAAAGCTAAGTCCACGGGATCGCTAAGGACACTTCGAATCAAAGAGCTCCGTAGTTGAACAAACCTGCTCAAGTTGTTCTCAAACTGCAGCACTTGCACATCGCTTGCACAACTCTTGCACCACACTTGCTCCTCTCTTGCACCTCTGACGCACACCCTTGCACTACCGCTGACACTTCACTTGCAGCACACTTGCATATCTCTTGCTGGCACATCTCACAATCTTAACTGGCATGTTTTCGACACGTGTATGCGTACATAGCAATTGACAACGGAAGAGACTTGAGAACGTGGCTGGTCAAAGCAGCATACGGCACTCAGACCTTCCAAAAGACAAGAAGCGCTTCCGGGATGAAACATGAGGAGCGAAAGACCCATCTGCCATCTTTGGCACGGGCAACGTCACGAATGTAACTGCAGGAATGGTCACCCTCAACTCCTCCCATGGGGATCCTTGAATGGGGAGGCGTGAGGGACCCTTGACGATTAAATGCAGATCCGAAAATGCACACCGGACGCTCACTCAGAATGCCACCGTACTTGGACGCTGCCTCTTGTGCTTGTTCTGCATCTGAAGTATGAGCCCTAGCATAGAAGGAAACTGGTGGGGACCACATGCTGTCACGAGCATCCCAATACGATGGTCGAATCGTTCCCTCAAGGAGGATAGAGGCAGCCCCGGCCACTGTTGTGTTGTGTGCAACAGGCAAACGAGCAATCCCTGCTGCAGAAGTATGCGACCTGACCATGGTCCTCTCAAAGTGGGTGAAGTGGATGCTCAAGCACTTGCACGAACTCGACAAAGAACGAAGCTCAACAGAGTGAATGTTTGCAGCTTGGTCGGCTGCAGCAATTGCCTGAGAGACATACTTCAATGCCGTCGAGTTGACAGACTGGGAAGGAAGACCTAACAGGCTCATCAGATAGTCCGCAGTGCTTTGCATCAAAGAGCTGGGGACCTGCAACTCAAGATTGGCCTGTATCTTTCTCGAAATCTCACATGCCGATTTCATACGGCCAGGGCTGGAACTGATCAAGTGACGTAGAGCAGTAAACATGGGGTATAATGCGACCCAATTGAAGCTGGCTGAGTACACTTGTATCAGCTTCGCTTCTTCATCACGCACTTCCAACCCACGAAGTTCAGGAATCACGAAGAAGTTTGAATCTTGCTCCCACTCAACTTCCACATGCCCTTTGAGAAGAGATCGATTCTCAAAATGCTCGTACGAATCTTGCAAGGGTTTAACTCGAAAGACGTAAGTCTGGTCCGCACTGAGCTGCCACCCTACACGATCAGCATGAGCACCAGGAATCTGATCACAAACTGTACGAAGTCGAATGCTGTTAGGATCTGCGACAAGAGAAACTCCGCTTCCATGGACTTGCCGAAGTCGCTTTGAGGGCTGGGATGAGTCATCCGTTTGATATGTGAGGGCTGACTGCTGGCTCTGACCAGATGCTGCTGACTGATTCTGTTGAGAAACAACAGTCTGCTGAATGTCGAGCAAATTGTTAAGGCCAGCATACACATCTCTGTGGCCTCGGACATGAGTCAAGTTTGCCGACATGATTGCTGAGTATTCAGCAAAATCGGCCACCGAACGAAACGACAAACGGAAACCTGCACCATCTGCATGAAGAGTGATTGCTGGTGGAACCTCTTGCTGTGGAACAGGCCGATCATTTACAGCACGTGCAGCAATCAAGGTAGGAGCTACATCTGCTGTTCCCAAACCAACATTGGATGCAGAAGGGATCGGCAAAGAAGAAGATGGAGCAGGCGTCGGGCAAACTGCAGGAGTGGGGGGTGGGGGAGGGAAGGCGGGAGGGGGAAGGGGAGGGGGGGGTGGAATCCACTTCGGCGTGGTGCCACGGGAGGGGGGAGGGGCAGAAGTGGGGAGGGGAGGGGGGGGCAAAGGGGGAAGGGGGGAGGAGGAGGGTGGAGGGAGAGGTGGGGGAGGAGGGGGGGGAATTGATGTGCGGGTACCGCGTCTCTTTCCTGAGGCATCCATGGCAAACTGATCAGCAACTACCAAAAGTACAGCTCATGTACTCAACTTGTAGCCGAAGACCTGCGACAAGTCAGCGGTGAAGTCAGATTCGGGAAAGTCAATCAGATCATAGAAAGTCAGTGGGAAAGTCAGCATTCAGGTTTCGGTAAAGGCATTTGGTAAAGACTCACTGAGAAAGTCAGCTTGCAAGCACGGATATAGAATCAGGGAAAGTCATCCAATGCTTATACAGTCAATCGGGAAAGTCAGCGCCAGAGCTACCTCTGGGAGACACGGCGCCCATAGGGAATGCCGTTGTGAAGCACACTTGACACATCGTGTCGCAGGTCTGATCTGTCGGTGCATACTGTCAGGGAAAGTCAGCAGCTGTCAGGGAAAGTCAGAGGCTGCACGAGAAAGTCAGAACATGCAATCTGAAGTACTACCATAGGACAAACACGAATCACTCATGTAAGACTGACATGTGCAGACCCTCACTCATGACTGTCGCATTCACAGGCAAACTCTTGAACAGGAACTGAGCAAGAAACTGACCAATGCAAGCCCTCACTCATGACTGTCGCATTCGCAGATACGCTCTCAAGCTGCCACATGCGTGACCCATGAGCAGCTTTATGCAGGTACAGGTTCACACGTCTGTGAGCCCATCCAGTCAACATCCATAGCTTCGTTGGCGTGGCTAGGATGCGACTGCCACGCCCCCTGCTGCTTAACTCACTCACATCTCTTGGAAACAGAGTTGGACACACACACACACACACCTGTTTTTGAGCAATCGCATTACGCATTTCCCAACAATCAGCAGCAGAGCACGGAGAATCTGCTTTGCTCACTTTGTTCTAATGCCGTGAAGGTACTTGCTTCTGCCATACCCCCCGGCCCAAACAACCTCTTCATAGTGCAAGGCTGTAAAAAGACAGGACCACAGGGTTCTATAGAAACGTACTGTCCCCTGCAGCCCAGTACAGCAGCCCACGGCCCCGTCAGCATCACACCCCCCGAACCGGCACACCCAAAACAACCCTACAAAAAATAAAGCTGTACCGCCGGAACACCCCCACAGGGACTCGCAAACCATCTCACCCGAAACACCCTCCCTCCTCCTTCCGTTCCTGTACGGTCCCTTCTAGAACCTCCAACAACCTGGTCCTTTGAGATTTCCAGGCAAGTGTGGTGCTTCAGGCTAGGGGTTTAGGGCTCAGGGTAGGACAGAGCCTTGGGGTATCGTATAACTCACTCTACAGTCATGACTGGGAGACTCAAGCAATGTTAGCAATGATTCAGGCTCCCATGAGGGTTTGGATTTGTTGTTTGCAGCTCGTTCTCCTGCTCCTCTTAGAGCTGAGCCAGACTTTACAGGTGTTGATACAAAGATGCCTCACCATTGCTTTGAAGACGATTCTGGCGTTCTGTACTAGCTTACATTACCATAGGGCACAGCTTTCCCAACCAGAATGGCACAGACGACAACCCTGGGTCCAGAGTACATGATGGCCCTGCTGACCCACAACACCACCACCTCAACCACAAGTGCCTAACCATCAGGTCCCCTGGACCCTGAAACCCCTGTCTAGCACCATAAAACTCCGCACAGAACCCTCACGGAAATCCTATAAGAACTTCTAAACTTAGCTACTTGACACCCATATGGCAAGGCCAATAGCTAGATCGACGGATTACCAGGCTAGCAGAAAGACGCAAAGTAGGAGTCCTACACCCTTGTATGGACCATGATGGGCGTGGTGCCTCCCACTGTCTCAGCAGGCTCTGCAGTCGCGAGAAGCTTCGATGCCTCCGCTTGCAGATGCTGAGCACTTCGCGAACGAGCAAGTTCTTACCTGCATGCTTTGCCGTCGGGCTTCCGAGAAAGAACTGATTCCCGGCTCTTGCGGTCAGACACCACGGTCACTTCTCGCTGGGTCAGCAGGACTTGACGAGGGCAGAATACAACCCAACCACAGAATGCAGTCTTGGGGTCTTCTGGCAGCACGACGTTTGAGAGGGCAATTGAGGAGGTGTTGTATTGCGGCACCGGTCGGTAAACGGATCTTAACTCGAGGCGAGGACGCATGCGTCGCAACACGTGCATCCATGGCTGGTGGGCACAAGATGGCGCCAGAGACAGGATAAGCCGCATTGGAGTCCAAGCCCAAAATTCCTAAAGCGCAGCTCTTTGCCATACGGTTTAACGCTCCTTGTAATCCTAGCAAGCCAGAAATACAACAACCAATTCCGCACAGTGTTTTTTCATCCCAAGACACGATAGCCGTATAAACACTTGTCCTGATACTCGAAGGCTTCTGACCTAGGATCCCTTGAGGAGCCACACAGCTCGGACAGTCTCATCTGCACCTTCCTGAACTCCCTGAACCCCAAATCCTGACCTGTTGATGACAAGAACCCAACACACCCGGCTGTTAACAGGAACCCCACGATACAAGCAATGAGCAAAAAGCCTCCCCCATCAACTCACAACCGTTTTGGTCCTCGAGCTTCTCGCAGGGTTTGGCGGCAGCTGCGCGCTGCCCCATGCTCACGGCCCCATTCTCTCTGCAAGTCGGGCTTTCAAATGCGGCGCTAATGCCTGCGCTCCGAGTCCAACACTTTCAAAAGAGCCTGTAAAGGCCTGTCAGTCTACGTCGAGCTCACATTTCAGCTATGATCTCGTAGTCCTCCTCACTGACCTGCTCAACATCATGCACAGGCGTGCTGGGCCTGCTCAAAGGGAACTCAACAAAGCGGCATTTCCCTCTTCCAAACCTCGAAGGACTTCAGCATCCGCTCCGCAGTCGTCGATGCTGTTACCTTCCGCGAAGAATTCTCGTTCATTCCGCTTGCTTCTCCGGCGGGGCTGCATCAACCACAAGCCCCTGCCATCGGTGCCCATATCGGTCGCAGGCCCTAAAGGCACCGTGCCGGCCGAAAGCGTTGAAATGCACTCGGGACGAAATGACAAGAAACATAAACGCGAAGATGAGGATCGAAGAAGAGGCGAAGGGGCAGGTGTGTAGCGTCTTTGCAGCCCTTGCAGAAAACAGCTTGGTGGCGCCCCCCACCTCGAGCAAATAGCCATCCGAGGTGTGCGCCTGCGAAGTGAGTTACGCAGGTCACAACGAGGAGGGCAGCGACATGGAGGTGGAACACAGAGTTCAGGACCCAGAACCCACCACACGCTATCAAAATTAAGCTTCCTGAAGCCGTTCTGTGGCATGGAGCTCCCATCACGTGGAAAAAGACACATGAGTGTAGAGTCTCGAGGCACCTCCGAGTTGATCTTCACCTGGCTGTCACCAGACTTCCTTGGAGCCCGAGCTCAGGTCGAGATGCGGCTCCGCTCTTCGAGGCTCTTCCGCCAGCCGTCAGCCGAGAGACATCTTCGCGTAGACGGCAGAGTCCGTGTAAGGGATCTCAGCGGAATTGCGAGGACTTCGGCAATTTCAAGAGCATGAAGTCGGCAGCCGAGGGGCCAGAAGTCTCATGCTTGCAGCACCAAAGTCTGTATGCTTCATGAGGGTCTCCTCAATAGCCTTCAGGACAGCATGGACCCCACCGCTATGCCATGCTGGGAGACCACAAGTCTTCACAAGTTGCAGAGCTTCTGAATTCAGACACTGAGCAGCACAGAATTCATGACAAGTACAACTGCCCTTCTCACCAGGCACCCGGAGCGGAAAGTACGACACAGACTCACACTCAGACGGGCACCTCAGACAAGGCCGTGAAGCCTGTTCCCTTCAGCGCCGAGATCTGCCAGACAGGTCGCTTAAAGGTCTAGTCAAGAACTTGCGATCTCCGGAGTGCGGCGCTGCCACAGATTCGGCTCGAGAATTTGGAGCTTACAACCCTGAGTCAGTTTGGCAAAGAACAGCAAGCATGAATTCAGCACCTGCACATGGCCGACAATGCCAGGGTCGGGATAGCTCAGACCTGATGTTTGGCAGGGCTGGAGCTCAGTGGGACTGGATGAGATCCATGCCGATGCACACTGGGAGCGTTGCTTTGCTCTAGCTGCTCCGCTTGGTCACCTGGCCACAGCATAGTCTTAGTAGCCTTCAGCTGCTTTAGTTCCGATCTTGTTGAGATTGGCCGAGCGCCTTCTAGCCGGTCCACCTTGTTGTAGACCATGATTTGCGGCGTTGTCCTGGCTGACAGTGCCAGGGTTTTGATGCGAAGCATCACTCAGCCTTAGCATAGCTGTGCTACTAGTCCCTGTACCGAACTTTACCCACAATCGTGATGCCCTGACCTCATTAGTCGCAAACCTGCACTTCGGATTAAGCGGGCTTGGCCGACGGCTTGAACTTCCGCAGGCGCTTGAGCGTTTTCAGAACACTGGCGATCTGGCACGCGGATTTCAGAGCAGCATAACGAGCCCACGCAAGAGCTTTACAGCTCAGTCCTCTCAACCGCAGCTCCGGTCATCGGTCTACACTTGACGCAGGCTCTCAAAGCATCAACAGTTGCAGAAGCAACGCAGATGCCAAGACGAAACCAACAAAACAGAAAGCCAGCATCATATATCCGTGACACCATGCAGGTCCAAATCAATTCCACCCAACGACTCGCCGCATCCCGGCCTGCTGAGCAGCCATTGGAGAGGACACGTCGACCACGTGTAGGATCAGAGTTGTCTCGGAGCCAACAACCGAGTGAATCTACATCCTCCAAATGGCCTACTCACAATCCCTGAAGGATGGTTCTGAAGATCAAGGTCCCCGGTGCACAGCTTACCTTGAAAGCACCTCGCTGTCTGTGGAGCTGCACTCAGAGGAAAAGAAAACAAGTGCCTCCACCACCTCCTCCAAGGTGGCACGAAATCCGGCTACGAGCTGCTCAGGAAGCCTGGTGCACTCGAGCTTCGAGGACTCTAGGACTCACGTGCGACATCGACTTCTTGTGGAGACTGGGCAGGATCAGCCAAATGGTGGGACAACATTGGAATCTGCTCTCACTTGGCCAAAGTCTTTGCGGAACTTGTGCCAGAATCTACAACGTATACAAACTCTCATAAGATAGAAAGACCAAGCCTAGGAGCACAATGGGACACAAGACCTCAAGGATGTGGAAAGCGTGCCCTGTCAGCTACCGATCATACCAATCTTGATGAACCCATGCTCATCGTGGCACACCCTCCGGCCTCTGGATGAAGCCGACCTAACACGACTCCGGACTCGCGCTGGCCAACATGTTGCTCTTGATGATGACACTGGTTTTCATGTGGATCCGAGGCCACTACTGCAACATCCCAAAAGTTCTCGTGCTTTGGGCACCTCTAAGTTCTCGCATTGTGGGTCCCTCTTGCACTTCTGAGTATTTCGGAATCACCTCAGTCAACTCCTTCATGTACAAGACCACCAACGTCAGAACCCGGACGTAGTTCATCGGCACGGGCATGGTCAGCCCCACCAACTACATAGTGCACGGAAACCGTATCCAGCCAACGAGTCCATGTCAAGGTGTCTATCCGACTGAAGCAGAAGGTCTCCCAAGTGCCGGGCTGTGTCTGCAAGCATGATCTGACGACCGCCTTGCGATGAGAGCTCCGACAAGGGCTAAATTACGACTGCTCTAGCGTCCGGGAAGTTTGGTCTTCCTCCTCGGCCTAACCTTCAGAGAACGGATGGAATTACTACCAACACCCTTCAAGTAGAAATGAGTAGGAGAGTTAGGGTTGACGGAGGCACTCAGGGACTCACGTTGTGATATCTGGAATTACTACCAACACCCTTCAAGTACGAACGGCTAGGAGAGATGCCACACGATATGGAAGGTTACCTGCACCTCTGAAGCAGAGGCCAAGCCTGGCGTCTGACACTGCACATCGCTCAGCCTGGTAGTGTCACAGAGCGCCGTGTGGGATCCAGCGTCTCAAAGAGGCGATCCTGACGATGGCTCTTAACCGAATCTAAAGTCATCTAGGCTATAATATACTGCCATACTGCCATATAAGATCATACAAAATATCTAGTGATTGACCAGAACAGTATAGAATGAATAGACCAGAGCACGTGGCTCAAGACCAAAGCGCAGCAAAGTGCCAGGCCTTGGCCTTCACCTGGCCAGAGAGACGCCATCACAAAATCCTTAGAATCCTTCGGCATTGAAGAATACCCAGAACATCAAGGAGAGCCTTAATGTGCCAGCCTACAAACCACATCCAAGCCAACCTAATCCCTCGCATTCTCACACAACCTGGCCTCACCTCACTTAAGGTGTGCTTGATTTTCATTTGCCGGTTCCGGCTTGTTTCTCCCTGTCGTGGCCACGCGGATTTCCGAGCCATGTATGTCTGATCCGATCTGACAGGCGCCCTTGAGCTGCAAGCCCTGCACATCGCTGGAGTGCTGCGCTGTCACTGCGTCTTGGAACCAAAGGCACAGGTGACAGAGAAGTGCAGACAGGATCAAAGCTCGCACAAGCCAGGGATCCTGACGGCATGAAAGCTGGCCTCGACTTGCTGCGCCAGTGCATTCATCAGTGTCGACCTGGGCCAAGTGCTCAACTGTTTGGATTCGCAGGATTTGCAAGAGGATCTTAGAGTCTTGGTAGTTCGACGAGGGCCGAGAACTTGAAAACTCGAACCTCTGTCGAGGGCCGAAAAAGAATCTTCGGTAATGTACCGAACGCTTCGCTAGGATGGAGCTGGAAAGGTGCAGCGGACCAGGCAGCCCGCTTTCCGGCGTTCGTGTAGCCGACCTCCAACAGCATCCACAGCGTGCTGAGAGACTCCAGACTGCTCAGAACGATCCTGCTGCCAAGCCGCGAGGGAAACGATGGGCAAGCCCAGCTCGATATGGCCTCGGCGAATGCGTCACAAGGCCTCACTCGACTTGTGCCACGCAAACTTCAGCAGCATGTGCAGATGCGAGGCTGCCGCACGAACTCGAAGCCAGAAGCAACCGGCGGCCCTTCATTAGATCCGTCCTACAATATCCGGTACGAGTACGACCCCCGTGCGTCGTCGCAGTGGATTTGATTCCGATGCCCTCATCAACCCATCACCTCGGGCTCCCTTGCGTTCGCGCTGCTGGGCCCGGACTTTGCGGACCTCAGGCCACGGGACGAAAAATCGACAGAATACGGGTCCTGCAGACGCAGTTCCACGGATTCCAGATGAAAAGAGCACCTTCCCGCGTAGGTGTCGCCCGTCGCACAGGCTTCAATTTGACCCTTGCCTCCCTGCTACTGTAAAATGACGATACCCATACCATCTTGGCTAGACAGAAGCAGAAAGTCCCTGTGGCAGGCGATGCTTAGATGATCCAACCTCTTCCAGCGCTTTGGTTGTCGCTGCGATCTTTCGCTTCATCAGGCTCCTGAAACACGGTTGACATTCGCCGGCTGCAGTTTGCGAATGTGGAACTGCACGCGTGGCCCCCCTCTGCCACGTGGCTGAGCAAAGCTATGAAGTGAAGATTCAGCATCCCTCCCTCCTGAATATCTTCTATCTCAGAAGCAAGCTCAATCATCTACGCGAGTCCATGACTCCCCATGCGTCAGCCGGGATTCTTTGCACGGGAATGCATCGGCTTGTCGATTGGATTACTCACATGCACTGTCTGTCACAAAGTGTCACAGCACGCCCGCGATTCATGGAACAACGCGGACTCGGAGCGGACCGCTTGCTGTCTCTCTAACACTCATCCAACCGAATCCTGACATCATGCCAAAAAGCAAACTCTGAGAGACAACAGCCAGAAAGGGAACGCTCGTCTGGAAGCTGTGCTGTGCTAGCTAATCCGCCGAGTTGAATTCACAAGCAGCTACTTGTCTGGCTGCTTGGCAGGGCGAAGCATTCGCACTTTCTTGGGACTGTCCGCGATTTCCTGCACCCGCAGCAACGCAGCTCGTGGCGATGTTGGAGTGAATCCTTTGGTGACTGGCAAAGAAGGCAAAGCCGAAGGCAACGGGGATCCCTGGAGTCCCAGTCCCTGGCGGCGAGCGAAGGATACAAAGGTCGACTGGACGAAGAAGACCGTGAGGGGCAACAAGAGGCTTCGGCCCGAGCCGGGCCGTTTTGTGTGCTTTGGCTTTGCCCTCCCAGTCCCAGTCTCCACGCTGGCCGAGGTCGGCCCCAGACTCTTCAGGGCGAGGAAGCCTCCCACTTCTGCCACTTCCACTGTTGGGATCGGCTCCATGGGCTCCTCGATCTCCTTCACGAGAGCCTCCAGATCCTTCCCGGTCCTGACCTCCGAGAGCGAACCTTTCAGGACGCGAATCAAGTCGTCGGCGTCCTCGAGCTTCACGATCTCCGTCGCTGAACGGAGGATGGCAGCTGCCTCGGATTTTCCGACCCTCTTGGTGCTGTGCAGGCTGGCTGCGAAGAATCCTAAATTTTTCGAAACTTCACCGGCTTTCGCGGCCAGCCTCCTGCAAGCTACGGGTGCCTTAGACTTCAGCCCTGCGCTTTGTTATACCTTGTGCTCAGACACGACCAATTGCGGCACCAGGCGATCGATGGCATCGCCTTCAAGAAGGCGGTTGCAGAGATGCTCGCTTGCCGGCAAAGCAAACTCCGAGGCGAACATCGACCTCAGCAAAAGGCGAGCCCTACTTGCCTCAGCCTGGCCCCGATAGGCGGACATCAGGTTTTGATACACTCTAATACACCTGGAAAGCTGATGAAGCCGCCGGGCGCCGCTGCTTAGGGGCAGTTGGGCGTGGGCGGGGAAGCTTCAACAGGGCATCCAAGCAGCAAGAACCAGCCAGGCATGAATCCTCTCAGGGAGTCATATGCAGCTACGTTCAGGAGCCCAAAGTCCTGTTTTGCTACAGCCCGGGGTCCTGTCAAATAGAAATGCATGTCCACCCTGTGCAGGTGGTCGGTCAGGACCTTACTCTTCTTCTTGAGCATCTCGAACCTGAGCAGAAAGGAGTCATGTGCAAAACCCACTTCGGCGAATCTCATGTCCAATGAGGAATCCGGCAGGCACTGCAACCCTCAGCAGGAGCTGGTGGCCGTGAACATGGATGAGCGCATTTGAATGCGCCTGCATCAACCGCTTCTCTCTCCGCTTGCTGGAAAACGAAAAGTTTGCCGAAGCTGGACGCGGCACACGGCACAAACAGCCATGTCCACAGGCTCGGCCATGGAGCCATTTGTTCTCAGGAAACCTGGAAGCTGTTGGCATGCTCGTGCTCTTCCTTCCAACTATATGCATGCATCGATCGATCGTTCGATCGACGGAGAGACGGACGAACGTATGCGTCCATGTATGAATGCATGCAAGCATGCATGCGTGAATGCATGTACATATGCAAAAAATAAAAGCCCAAAAGTTGAAAAGCCAAGAGCCTCAATTCTTAAGGGTAATGCACAAGGAATCCCAGCACTAATCGTCCTAAATCCGGCTTCCGACTTTTTGGGTGTGTTACGTTTTACTATTTGTAAATATGTGTAGACACAAACACACTGAAGAAGTGTAGTCTGCACTCCCGGATGTATGTCCACAAGGAACGTTACACTGCATGAAAAACGATCGTGTTGGTAATGGTGATGATAACGAAATATGAGATGAAGGTTTTGTGCCAAGTACGCCAGACCGAAGGAATGGCATACGACAACGGAATGAAATGATCCATCAGGGGTAAGGTTTCTGCCCCTTGCTACGCCAGACACAAAGGAATGACGTAGCATGGAATGAGATGAAGGATGAACGAAGATGAGTGCCCCGCCAGCCGCCCACGACGGGGCCCAGGCGCAGGCAATGCAAGTACGTTGGGAGAGCTTCGTTGGACAGAGCTCCCCTGCACCCCCTGCATCCCCCTGTAGAAAGATGGGTGGTGAGCCCCTTATCTCATGCACGAGAGAAGTGCACACACACACACACGCACGCACGCACACCCGCACACACACACACACACACACACACACACGCAAACACACATGTATATATATATATATATATACATATACATATACATATAGACACACACATGTATATACATATGCTATAGTGTACATATACGCATGCATATGCATCTACACATATATATATATATACATATAGATGTATGTATATGTGTGTATACATATAGATTAACATCTGTATATATACATGCATATACATATGCATATACATACATACACATGTGTATATATATATATATATACTTATACACATATATACATATTTTCATATGTACGTATATACATATCTACATACTTACATGTATGCATATGCATATGTGTATATATACATATTCAGACAGGCCTCCAGCCATCCAGCATGCATGCTCGGATGGACGGATGTGTATGTTTCCGTATGCGTATTCGTATATGTATATGCATATGTACATGTATTTGTACAAGGATCTGCATATGTGTATATGTACATGTGTATGTATATACATATACATATATACACAGCGAGACACCTGTATCAATATATACGAAGCCCAATCGGTAACGCTTCCACAACCCTGATCCCCAAATCGAGCTCTCACCACGGTGCCGTAAATGATTTGTGTGTGACCCGTCACTATTTTCAAGAACACTAGTGACTAGCGAAAACACCCAACATTACATGTAGGAGCCATTTCATCTCCTCACCACTCTAATTGCAGTCGATTCTTTATTCCTTAACATAGTCGTAGTTGAAAATCTTACCAGTAGTCATGGTTGCAACCCCCGCAACACTTGCTCATAAACAGCCAGCATAGTGCGAGGCCGGTTGGCGATGGGTCCCTGCTCTCATACAAGCGTTCTTCTAAACTTCCCACCTTACGGTATCCGATCTGTTCTAGACGCCTTGCATCTAGCGGTGTATTCAGGCCAATAGTATTAGACTCAAACTGAAAATGTAGGGGGGGGAATCCGGGACATGAAATTCCAGCTCGGGAGCCAGGATGCAGTTTGCTCACGAGCTCCTTGAAACGAGCGAAAGCCTCCTCTTTGGTCCGCTTCTGCAAACACAAGGCCATCCTGGGAAGAAGAGGAGGGTGGATCACAATCATAATATACTCGCAACAAAACAGGAACATGATTGTCATTATCCGCCGAGGCCACAGGCCCAGGCGTCTTGGGGGTTAGCTCAGGTACCCTCCACCTAATCCTCCTCCCTGCGGTCCAAATGTTTGGGGACACCCGCGTTCGTTTGCCACCCCCTTGCCCGGCTTCCCTTCATTTTACCTGATTTGTCGGCCTCCCCCCGCCCTCCCACCCCTCCCCCGCCTCATTTTACCTGATTTGTCGGTTCCTGCCCTCTCCGGCCCCCCCCCCTTCTTCCCCCCCCCCCCTCCCCCCCCCCTCCCCCTGTTTGCGTAAACCTCTAAAGGGGTAGCTCTAACAGGTACCTACAGCAATGGCTGCATGCTCATACATATACATTCCGCTGCCCATTGGCTCACAGTGGTTTTACCATATTGAGACAAGACAAGCTCTCCTTGCGTAGCAAGACAAAACAACTACTGTCCGTGTGCAGGGCGCTGCCCTTTGATCCTTAGGGAATAAACTGGTCATACACCTCCTAACAAGGAGCATTTCCTTGTGGGTGTATCGGCTCAGTTTTCTGGTAGCGGAGCCCGGAAAGGGCCGCCCGCCTCCCAAAGTCCGCTACAGCGGTCGGCCTCGCCGAACGCTTAACCAAGCGGATAAGAGGCAGCACAATGTCGAGCTCGCATAGCGAAGCCGACGACAGTTCCCAATCCTCCGGGGGATATGAGAACGAAGAGACCTCCCAAGGTCCAGCCACTTATGTCGCACAGTCATATGCAACATCTGACCGCATGCTTGCATCATTAGGCATAACGCCCAAGATCGCGCCTGCCTATGATGGCACCACCTCGTGGTTTGAGTATGAACAGTTGATTGACGACTGGTGCGACATAACAACGCTGGATGACACCAAAAGAGGTCCGTCTCTCAAGACGAGGCTCTCCGGATTGGCCGCAGTACAAAAGGAATCACTGAACCGAGAAAGGCTTGCAGCCCCAGATGGAGTAGATTACTTCAAGAAGAAGATGCGTCCATTTTTCGTGAAAGGAGAACAGTACGTTTTCCTGTGGCGTTTCCTCGGCCTATTCAAGGCATGGAAGGGCAACCAAGACTTTGTGACTTGGATTGCCAAGTTTGAGATCGTGCTACAGCGCGTGAAAAACTCATGGATGGATCTCTTACCAGAGATAGCTCTGGAGGATGCCCATCCAGATTTCATGCAAGCTGTGCAGGCAGACCAAACCTTCTTGCGCATGCAGGATGCAGCCGAGAGAGACACATATGCCGCACGCTATTTCGAAACATGGAACAAGGAACGCCTTGACAATCATCGAAGAGCGTTTCCTCTGAACGATAATCTCCTAGCTCTCCTCTTCCTAGTGCAGTCCGACCTAAATGAGATGCAACGTGAGAGGTTGGTAACAGCATTGACCAACCAAGGTCACCGAATTGAGACCTACACGTACCCTGTGGTACGGCAGACCATGTTCGATCAGTTCTCAACGACCAGAACTGGTCTGCAGGATCCCAACATTCGGCACTCTTCTCACAAGAAGGACCGCCATGGAAGGAGAGACCAACGCCGCAAACGCGGAGGTCGAAACTTCCTCATCCTCGATCAGGGTGAATACGATGGAGTCGATGGATTCTGGCTCCAAGACGAAGACACCCTTGAGGAAGGCTTTCTTGCCGCCGAGGATGAAGAAGCTGTCTTCTGGACAGTTGATGACCATGAGGCCTTCGTTGCAAGGAGATTCAAAAAGGGAAGAAGACCAAGAATGCGTCCCGGATCACCGGGAAGAGCAAAGGGTGGCAAGCGAAAAGGACGTGGCCGTTTTAGGTCATACCGCGGAAAAGGGAGAGCCAACCAGGCAGAACATGATCCAACTGATTCCAGCTATTTCGGTAAAGGTAAAGGAAAGGAAAAAGGAAAAGGTGGAAAAGGCAAAGGAAAAGGAAAGGACAAAGGAGATAAAGGAAGCTCCTTCAAAGGCGCAAAGGCAAAAGGCAAAGGTAAGGATACAGCTAAGTCTGCCTCCTTACAAGGAGACCAAACTGGATCTCCACAGGCCTATGAGAGTTCCACCGCACCGAGCTGGGATTCATGGTATGAGGACAGTTATTATACTGACTCCAGTTGGAATTATGCCGCTTATGACGATCAAACGTCTTATACATACTATGCATCACAAGCCTCACGAAGAAAAACACGGAGAAAGAAGAGAAGAAATCAAGCAGGATCATCAGGTAGAGGCACAGATCCGAGCGCGCACCAAGAACCCGTGTTCAACTCATCAGTGAGTTACGTGCCCCAGGTCTTTGAACCATCCGAGGGGCAAGGTGTTGAAACTGCAACAGCGGTGTTTCCGTTGCAGCACACCGTCCTATCTGCTCTCACAGAGCGGATCAATCTTGATAAGAACCCTACCTTTGTCATACTTGACTCAGGTTGTACTAGGGCTATGGGTTCCCGCTATGCGGTGAACAGGCTTATCAAGGCCGTGAAGCAACGTGCCCCAGGCATGATTGATTTCACTTTCTCACCTTCGAACACGAAGTTCTCTTTCGCAGATAGTGAAACAGCTCTTATCAAGGAGCGTGTAACTCTATGGTTCAACACAACTCCAAGAAGAGATACAACCATAGAAGTTCTGGATCAAGGGAGAGTTCCCATTTTGTTCTCCATTGAACAGATGAGGAATCTAAGAATGACCCTCGAGTGTAGTCCCACAGCTGACCTAGCAACGTGTGAAGCTTTCGGTTTGTACAAAACCCCCCTTCCGATTAGTACCAATAACCATTTGGTATTGGACCTTCTAGGCTTCACTTCCACCAGGAAGTATCTCCCTAAGTCAGGTACGTCGTTCAGTGCGACGGAGACTGCTCTAGGAGCTAAGAAGCCAAAGGAAGAAAGAAGATCTTATACTAAGATCCCGGAAGGTCGCTGTCCAGCCTGCGCAGGACAGAAAAAGCCTCATACGTTCCTCAAAGGTTGCGACAAAGCACCTGAAGGAGCAGCTGATCCACCACCGAAGGGCATTCCAGGTAAGAAGAAGCCTCTTCCATCTGATCCGGCAGAATCATCTGCCAAGAAACCTGATCCACCAGAACCATCTGGTGATGCTCCTGAGCCTTCCGAACCATCGGAACCATCATCAGGCTCTAGAGACAAACCTGCAGAATCATCTGCACCGCACGAACCTCCAGAAGAAGAAAGACTTGAGGTTCCACCTGCGAAGACAAAGACTCCAAAGGGTCTTAAAAACCTTCTGAAGAAAACCCGCAAATATGCGGTCAAACCTCCTGTTGAGGAGAAGTCTATGGTCCCAGGAGCTGATGACGGGACGGAGGTAAGACCACTTGAGTCAAGAGAATACCCGGCTCCTGGTACAGACTCACCTACAGGTGAAGAGATTGTCGCAGAACCATCGCCATCTCTTCCCATTGCTCTTCGCAGGATTCATGAGAAGCTTAAGGACCCTGTAGAACTCTATAAGCTTCACCTTAAGCACCGTCATATGAGTACGGATCAGTTCAAGCGACGCACGAAAGCCTTACAGATCCCAAAGGAGATATATGAGCTATATGACCAACTGGTCAAAAAGTGTTCAGCCTGTCAGGAACACGTGAGAGCTCCTTCAAGAGCGAAGATTTCCGGTTTAAGATCAGAGACTTTCGGTGATCTCACCTTCGTAGATCACGGTGAGCTTCCAATTCCCGGCAAGAATAGTCGCTTAATATTTCTTATTCTCTATGACGGAGCAACAAACCTGTTGACTTCCGAAGTAGTCCAGGATAAAGAAGAGCATACTACAATGTCGATTATGAATGACTACTTTGAGAAATTTCAGATCAACCCAAAGGTTGTAGTTGGAGATCAAGCATTCATGACTCCAAAAATGGAGGCTTATTACAATCGGCAGAATATCAAGCCTGTAGCAACAGGACCTGGAACACCATGGCCCAACAGGGCCGAAGCTGCTGTAAGATTGCTGAAGCATCAGATTAAGATCATACTTCAGATCCTGAAGGATGGTGACCCGCAGTATAACGGAATCACCATGAAGTATGGCAACCTCGTTCGACAAGCATGTTTGGCAAGAAACTCTTCGATTACCTATGGAGGAGTTACTCCTTTAGAAATGGCCTTTGGTAGGCGTCCTCGAGATGTTATAACACCAGAGAACGCTGATCCCAATCAGTTGACAGGTAATCCAACTGATACGGAAGTCACTGCGAGAGCCATTAAGGAGCTTGCCAACAGGGCTTACCAAGAGGCACGCCAATCTGATGATCTGCGCAGAGATCTTGCGGCCAGACTGTCAATGACCGAAGGACCTTTCTCTTTGGGAGATAAGGTTTTCTACTGGTCAGAGGATAAGTCTAAGATTGGATCAACTGGGTCCAAACATGGATCTTGGCTAAAAGGAAAGGTGATCTCCGAACTCGGAGGATCCATGGTAGGTGTGGATCTTGGAACACGCATCGTCCGCGTTAATATCTCAAAACTGAGGAAAAATTATGACATAACATCTGATGTGGAGATTCCTCTCGCGCCTGATGAGGAAACTCTGACGTCAGAAGGTTCTGACCACGCAAGTTGCATGGTCACCTTTGATGCTTCCCTGCAGTCGACAGACCTAACGGTTCCGCATCAAGAGTGTCACTGGCAGGTCACCAGCACTGGGAAGATTGACTTCCTAGAACTCTACGGTGGATCTCCCCGTATGAGTCACAAGGCTGCCCTGTCAGGTCTGCGAGTAGGTCAGCCAGTCGACTTGCGTAGTGGTCTAGATCTTGAGCAACCGCAAGGTCGCTCCAATCTTCTTAGGATCATCAAGGAACAAGAACCTACTATTATTGTTATGTCACCCGATCACTCTCAGTGGTCTAGCTGGTACTCACAGTGGAAGAAAGGCTCTGCCAAGAGACTTTCTGTTTTAAAATTCTGTGAATCGGTCGCAGACCACCAAATGAAGCTCGGACG